CTTGGATTTGCTCATGCTCTTCCTTTATCATTACTCCTGGTCTTGATACTGATAGTTCACTCCTATTCCATCCCACGTACACAGGAACAGGATGAAAGTCTCCTCTGCCCTTCACATCTTGACTCAGACCATGAAATCACTGGCCACAAGCTGCCCAAGCATTGTGAAAGAGGATCCATTCAGACTGAGCTTTGACATATTTGTCCTTCCTGGCAAAAGTCCTTGGAATTAAAGTATTAACAAAATGAGATGGGCACTAATAAAACTCCAGTGGAAGCCAGCTGATTTCAAATGCACTCAACTGACCTGCCTGCAGTCTATTGATTTCTGTTTGTCCTTTTTTGAATAAAACCAATAAATGTCTGGAAGTTCCCTAAGTGATTTGTTTGACGTTAAATAGAAAAATGTTAGCAAAATAAAGAGGAATACAAAAGGCAGGAACCATCTCTGTTTAGACTCTTCTTCCATTGTATTGTCTACTTATTGCAAATATTTTTACTGCTTCCCCTCCCAGTTCCATTAAATTTTTGTCTCAGCTTTATGGTGCTGTACAGTAATGGTTACAAGAAAGCAGCAGCATGACATGGTTTCTGTGAAGGTCAAAATTTAATCTCTGTGAGCCAAAACTTGACCTTTTTGTCATTTATGTTGATAATTTATAGCGCTCTGCTCTCCTGCTGGAGAACACAATAAGCACACCAGTTCTCTGGGCACCCACAGGAAAAGCATGGCTGGATGTGGAAGCATCCTTCAGTAGCTGCACTGGGAATGTGGGGGAATAACTGTTGCCTTCTATGCCTTCAGACAACAGATCCTCAGACCTTTTTTGAAAAATAATGATTCAGGCTCTATTCAGTCTCAAACTTTTTCATGTAAATGAGCCCAAGTTGGTGTTATATTAAAGAGGCCAGACAGCGAGTTCTATTTGCAGTTGTCTCATGTACTGATAATTGCAGCAAGTTCCAGTCCCTGGCAATGTCAAAAGTACTTTATAGTTCTTCAGTATTATTGGGTCTTCTCTTTAAATCCCACCCTCTGTGATCATTATCTCCAAGAGCCTCTTGTCTCCACGTTTATATTTTTACTCATCAGTGCTGCTTACAAGTATCTAATCATGCCACATCCTGCCTGCAGTCACCTTACCCCTAAAGCTAATAGCTCTGTACTCATACCTCTAACTCCAGCCAAACAAATGAATTAAACATTTCAGCATCAGCCAACAAAGTGGGAAAGTAAATGCAATTCATCTTTAAGAAAAGTGGCTGCTCACTCTGCTTCAGCAGAGAACCCATCTCCACAGAGTATTAAAAGTGAGATATGTAAGGAGAGAGCAAGCTGGAATCCTTCCTCTCTCACACCTGAATAGTTCTGGGTTTTACAGTGCACAGTTATTGCTGACTTGCAGCAGATAATCAGCAATAATGCCAGAGACCTCTCCAGCTGGCTGGATTGAGACAGACACGAACAAGGTGTGTTTGTGTTTGCATCTCGTGTTACAAGAGCCCAGAATGTGCCTGTTCTGAGAACATGAGGGATGGCTCTTCACTGACCACTGCAAGCAGCACAGGACTCCATCTATGACCTCCAACAGACCTGGCAGGCCAGTTCTGCCTCACCTCTGTGTGAGATGTCACCTCCTCTTTTTCGTTAGGTAAAGCTATGTATAGCTCACTGCTCCATATGCAGAATCATTAAAATAACACCATAGACAGGAATAAAAAGAATGCAGTCATTTCACACATCCCTCCATTAATTTAATTATTTTATTGTCCAAGCATATGAAATATTGAATATCACCAGAGGATACGTTAAAAATGAGACACCTGTTCTGTCATGAAGCATTCACATTAGAATTAATGGAACATGGACCTTGACAGTATTATTAAATATGTCTTGAAATAAATAAATAAAGCTACCTTGGAAATCCAGTTAGGTCTAAATAACCCATTTAGTAAATACACTTCCCTTCTTCCAAAGAAATTCCTTAGGAGACTATCTGTCTTGCTGGAGGCTTGTTTTCACTGGAAAATGAAGTTTTTTCTCTTGATCTTACGTCCCCAAAGGAAGGACAGTCTCAGCTAATTTACCTCATGATCAAAGGGAAGTAAGTGCCTGTTCAACATTTTTTTAAGCATGAGATAGTTCATGGTAAGTGCATAGCCAGGAGCAGAAGGAAGATGACTCTGTTTAGCAGTTATTGTGGGTCCAAACTGAGGCAGCATCTGCTCCAGAGGATGGCTGTCACCCACGAGGGGATGCACAGAAAGCTCTGGAGCCAGCTGCAGTGCAGAGGTCAAGCCTTGCATGGTGCTGCCTTTCTTTTTTGTTTATTTCAGCTTTCTCTCTCCTCAAGGATGAAGGAAAATAAAGGGGTAGTTTTCTTCTATGTTGCAAACTCTCCAGGTAAATTCATCCATTGGACCATTTGTGGCAATCCACCACACAATAGAATTATCAGTCTGTATGTTTAGCTACAGAATTATTTAAGGCATGCAAAACTGCACCCATGCAAAATTGGATTTGCATTGAATTATTTATTTATTTCTTTTAACCAACATAACTATTTTTGGTTACAGCTTAGAAAATACTTAGAAAATGACTCTTCTTCCACTTCTTTTATTCCCAGACACAGCAGGATACGCATCACTAAACAGCTTTTAGTGGTTATTTTGTTGGAGTTCCTAATCAATCCTGTTTTCCCTCCCCTCTATGCTATTTCTAACCCTAAGCCAGGGCAAAATCCATTGGTAGAACCATTTTGCAGAGACTGATGAGAAAACATGAGATTAATTCTTGGCTTTCAGTTCAGGAAAGGCGTACAACTGGCATTCAGTTCAGGAAGTCTTCCAGAACTGGTGAAACATCTCCTGTCTGGCCCTGTGCACGTTCAGATACATTTGTCATGCAGCTCTTCTGGTAAGGGCTGCTGCTGTGCAGAGGAGCAGCCTCTGGAAACAGGAGTTTGCTGCTCAGGGGTGACAGTAGGAAAAGCATTTCTCCACCTCTGTTTTTGTCCTCTCAACAGCACAGCAAGGCATGACCTTATCTCACTTATTTCTATAAAACACTTCAGATTTTTAGTACAATGTGTAAGCAATGGACATCTTCTTTAAGCTCAAAGGAAATGGACCATTTAATGTAAAAAAAGCTGTGAATGGTAAAGGATTTCTCTTTAGTCTTGCTGCCCCAGGTCTCTTCCCAGCTAGTGAGCAAACATTTGAGCAATCTCACCCTCCATTAACAATAATCTCATCTATACCTATTTTACTTCATTTTGCTCATCAAGCAAAAAAATCTTTTACTTAATTAATTGCTGACAATTAATACTCTTAACAAAAGGAGTTCTTACATATGCTCTTGCTCTGGCTACCAGAAATCCCAGTGGGGGATATGCTACTCAATTTTGCCTGAGTTGTTTTAAAGTAAGAACTTGAAGACTCTAGCTACAGTAATTATTATAACATACAGAAGTTAAATTAGCATTTGCTAAATAGGTTATTAGAAAGATCACATGTTGTCATAGGTAGTAAATAGCTAAACACAACCTGTATAAAAAAGGCTAAAAACATTTTAAATCAGAACCAGTGATAGATTCACAAAAGTACAGATGGTTTGAATTTGAAACTAGGTAAGATTTCATCCCACATTGTGAAGAAAACCTTGGGAAATGGTCTTACTAGTCAGCATTTCTATAAGAAATATCAGTCACCTTTCATTGCATTGCAATAAGTAGTTATGATGGTGACATCTTACGGTTTTCTTCTGCATCTTTTTGCCCTGAGATACCAAAAAAGGGACAACATATTATGCATATTTTGGTCATTTTACACGGTGTACTTCCTACAATGTGATTGGGGACCTTCATATATGTCTTGTCAAAATCTCCATTATTGAGATCCATCAACTAATGAATGTGACCCACTGTGGGGAGGAGCATGATTCATACTTGATTGAATGTAACAGCACCACATAACAATGTAAGGAACTGAGAAACTGAATTTCTAGAAGAAAAATCAGGGACAATTTAGAATTCCAGGACATAAATCCTTGAATGTGACTTGTTATATCTGTCTACTTTTGTAGGTATGAAGAAGTAGACTCCTCTTACCACCAAGTTGTCTTGGCAGTTCCTGTAGTTCAGTATTTGTATTCTTCATCTTTATAAGCTCATTTGTCCTTTCCTTAACATTATCAGGTCAATCTGCTCTCTGCATAAAAATCTTACTCTTCAGGGAACACTTCAGGCTGTAGAGCTGATATTGTTGTATGTGTAAAGTACATATATTAAAACCTGGGACATTCTCTAATGTCTCTCCATTGCTATTATTCTGCAAGTACCTTTAGTATCTGCAGGTAGTAATTTTTCATGCACAATTATAATTTTTAAGTTAATAAGCTCCTTTTAAGACTTTGAGAGTTAAAATCTAGAGTGGGATGTGTTGCTTTAAGAGTTGATTTAATAAATAATGGATTCTCTTTCTATTAACTCAATAGCATAATAATAACAACATTGAAACTTCACAAGTATTCCCTATTCATATGATACAAAAATATTTGTTGAAAGAAAGTAATTGTGCAATTCTCAGCAACTGTGTGATGCTCATGTAATGTTCCTGTGACATGACCAAACCAGGAAAATAAAAAAGTCGTGTACTGATAAACCCAGACAATGATGCATACAGCTAAGGCTGCATATTGGAGTTGCTATTGCACTACTCCAGCTGCCTCTCTCTCCATTTCTGGTGAGAATAATGGCTAAGCAGAAACATTTTTATTTTCCCTGTTGAGTCCTTCTCCACATGGGCTGTGGGTTCCATTTCTGAAAGTTTCTTCAGAGTGTCACTGAGCTCACTGACCGCCGGTGGCTTCCGTAATTAAAGTTTTTGAGATAATCTTTATCATCCTGCCCAGGAGCTGTTTCCCTGCTGGCCACAAGGGGATGATGGCCAGAGGAAGGCCCTGCTGAAGAATCAGTAGCAGCAGATTCTTCCTCTGCCCACCTGTTAAAGAAGAAATAGCCTTCCTCAAATGTCCTTCTCCCGAGGGGATTAGAGGCAGAAACTCCCAGATTTTCTGTGTCCCTGGGAGACAAGGCTGCTGCTGGATGTAGAAATGGTGACACACATAAGTGGCTGATGCTTTGGTCAAGGTCATCATTAGATGCAGGTGAGGCCACAGGTGCACTAGAAGTAGCTTCTTTTCTTGATCTTAGTTTCTGGATTTCAAGGTCCTGTTGCTCCTTAGGAAGTTTTTCGACTTGCTGTGCTTTCAGAACAAGAGATGCTCCAAGGGTTCCTCGCAGAGCAAAAATAAAGAACCTGATGAAGGAGGAAGGGAATGGATTTTTTTATCAGTGGGCTCATTCCATAATCTACATCACATATCCCAAATACAGATACTAATTTTCCATTGCTTTACAGACATCTGGTAGACACCTTATACCTGGCAGATGAAAGTTGACTCCTGGATCTTAACACAACATGTTACTACATATTTAGCTTAACCTGTATAGAGTCAACTACATGTATAGATTATCATTTTTTTAGTATTCATAACTACTTGTTTGCTGAACAGTGAAGAAAAATAGAAAAAAAATCCCAAGAGATGCAATATTTGAAAATATGGAAGTTGCATTTATACTGCTAAAATAGGCTCAAGAAGAGATCTTAATTTGTTAGATAAGAGAAAATCAGAAGTTAAAAACCTCACCTTTTGGATTTTTTTCAGAAAGCAACAACAGAAATTCCTCTCTGCCCTTTGCAGGACAGAGAACTTAGTAACTAAATATTGTGTGTTGTGAGACTGCATACACCCTCTCTCCATGTTATGTCAGCTTTGTGTGAAAATCAAAGTCTCTTTCAAAGCATCTTTTTATTAGGATTTGACCTTTACATAGGTGGCTTCAACATGTATTTTATAACAAACATGGGTACTCTGTGAAATGGCATTTCGAAAGGTGCCATCCTACATCCTGCTGCTCAATGTATCTATAAACCAGATTTACAAGATTAAAAAGGCTAACAAGGTACAGAAAGGGCTTTTAAGGCAATGGATTTCTTGGGCTTGCACAAGCAGGAGTGGATGAAGTTTATTTGCAGTGCCGGTGCTCAGGCTGGTCAATCCCAACAGAATCTTGGATCTCCTCAAGAAGTGAAGAGCATGGGAGAGCCCAAGACTTTCTTTGTAGATTTGCTGTGGATCACAATGTCCTGTGTCTTTCCCCTCAGCTCGTTTTCTGTATCTTTTGTGCAAGTTCCAGGTAAATCAGACAGGATGACAGAGAAGGAGTGGGAACTGTGTCTCCCATCCTGTAAACTGCTCTCAGTTGCTCCTGCCCTCCCACAGCCCTGGCAGGGCACAGGCCAAGCCTCCCCCCGAATGCTGCAGCTCAGACAAAAGGCAGCATGGAGGGGAAGAACCCAGGAGAGCAATTATTTAAAAAAAAACTGTTAGAAGGAACCCAGAACCTCCAGACACCGAGTGAGGAGACAAGGAGCAGGCAGAACAGTGCAATGGACCATGGAATGGAATGGAAGTTAAAATTTAGTGCATTTCAGCAAAGGGTGGTTTCACCACTGCTGAGATCTGGTGGCACAGCTCAGTTGGAGTAGAAACAGGGCCTGGATATTCTGCAGGTGAAGGAGTGTGCAGAAAATAATCTAGGGTACCAATATGAAGGAACAGCAGTTGAAGATATGAATATACAACCCTTAACCTCAGTAACCTGCTGAGGCAGCAAGGATCTTAAGTGTGCTGAATTCCCAAGATGGAGACACGAGCTCTCTAAGCACGTGCTTGATGCAGCTCTCAGCAGAAAGCTCAGGGTCAAAAATGTCACTGTGAATGAGGGCTGATAGGAAAACAAAAGTCATGCAGGAGCAAAGCAGACTGGAAAAGGATGCCCTGCCTAGAAGACATAAGACCTTACTGAATTGTGTTGTTTATTCTGATCTGAACTTATATTATATAACATAAAATCACAAGAGCATCTCAACTCAAATGGGAAAATAATAATAGTTTGAAGAAAAACACCATCTATTGTTGAAAAGTTCCTTTTCTGTCAGAGTTAAGGCTCAGATTCTAATCCCTTAAAGCACTTACAAAATCAGATACTAAAAATATTGTCCTGAATTTTGTAATACCAGCATGCTGCATTACTTCATGGGAATTAGGATGAGAAGGAAACTAGCAAGATAGTCAAACCAACCCATTTTTTTCAATGTCCAAGCAAATAGCAAATAAATATTTGAAACAAATGGTGTAACTCAAAACATACCTGCTTTAAGAATTATTGAACACCAAAAGTAGTAATGTTCCCATATGTATATGGGAACAGAATAATTCTGTTTTTTAAACCATTTTTTCAGCAACACATCTCAATAACTATCCCTCTCCAAATATTATCCAGTCTCAATTAAAGTTATCTTTAACATATCTGGTTTTTTGCAATACAAAGTTAAACTAAAATTTTGGATGCAAGGAATATTTGTCATATAGAAATGCTCTTAAATTCAGTTTAGTAATGCATCATAATGTACTTAAAACCAAGAATATATTTAGTAACTCTCAAACATACAGGAATAATTCAAAGATTTGTTTATAATCTTGATCTGCTCAACAACATTGTGGTCATGACAGTGAATAATTAGGTAGCAGATCTGCACTGGTAAATTTTGATGCACCCCAAGAAAAAAGGTTTTCCTGATGGCAAAAGTAGAAAATACATAGTGACTGACCTAGGGTTATATAACTGAATAAATGAATGGTTCATGAACTGGAAGGTTGAACTCAGGCATCTGAACTTCCACTGTGATCAGTTATCCTGTGCAGCACGTGTCTGACACATCACATATCTGTACACATCCCTGTCGCTTCTTCCCTCCCATGTCTGCAAACCCACAAAAGGAAAGAGGAGAGCGTTCAAACCTTGGTAAGAGCGCGATGACGGGGGTGATGAGGCACAGCAAATAGAAGGTGGGGTCCTGCAGCTGCCTCTCCATGATCCAGTAGGGGTTGGTGGGGGGGCTGCAGAGCAGGCAGGCAGCGTTGTAGATGACGGAGAAGATGAGGTACAAAGCCACACTGCAGATCATTGTCACCAGCTGCAGCACGGTCTGCAAGCACAAGGGATGCCAGTGAGACCCTGACTGGGTGTGAGACAGGAGGGCACAAAGGCAGCTGCAAAGAGTGCATCTAACAGTGCATTTTACTGAAATCTGCAGTAGGAGAAGTAGCCAGAAAGTAATTTAGAAAACAGCAGTGAATACAGTTCTCCAAGTAACACTTCCTCATATACTGAGGTATGCGAATATTTGGTACTCTCCTGTCCAAAGGCATGATAGAAACAAATTCTGTCATTGTGCACATGAGAGTATTAACCTGGGGCTACTAAAAAATTCTGGCACTTTGTGAAATCTTAGTGTACCTGTTACTTACCTTTTGTGACCCAGAATTCAGGTAAATGACTCTGAAAGAGAATTCTATGCCTATACAAGATGCAACATTCACCAAAATACCCCCAAATCCAGTGCTTTGAACAGGACAGGTCAAATACATACCCATGTTTTCATTTCTAGAGCCTGGTGCAAGAGAATGGTCAGGAGGGAGATGGTGTTGATGGGGTTTCCAAAGGAAAACACATCTATGTCAGAGTCTTTGTATGTCTACAAAACAGGCAGAGAGACTGTGGTGAGCCCTGACTACTCAGAACTGAATTTACTGCTTCTAAGGAGGACAGGAGAGTGAGAATATTAATAAGCCTGTTACTTACCAAATAGGGGACAAAGAAGCAAATGAGGCTTTGATAGAAGGCATCCAACATTGTAATAATAAAAGCTGACAAGTTGTATATCTGCAGGAGTTTACAGATAACAGTCATTATGATGGGATATACGTCTCTAGCCTGTCCTGCAAACATAATTGCTGTTTGTCTTCCATTCACACTACTAATTATTGCTAACTGGTTTCTTTCTATGAATAAATACCTCCTGAGCAGCTGATTAAACCAAAGGCTTATCTCTAAACAGGCATTTTATCTGTGTTAAGTAAAGACAGACCTTAGGAATATTACCAAGTCTATCAAGAGTATTAAAAGCCAAATTTTGCCAATGTCAAATCTCTTCACAAGGGATGTTATTCCTCAAATTCTTTATCCAAGCTCCTTCTAGAGTTATAAAATTTGTCAAAAATCCTTTCTTCTAATGCAACACTTATTTTGTGTCATTTTAATTTGACTATTTGCCATATTTAAATGTATCTAGTGACCGATGGTGTCACAGCTCCCATGGAGTGGAATGCATTACTGGAGAGACAGAATACTGGGCCCCTGTTTCAACATTCCAAGTACGTCTAAACTCTTTTCTTCCTTCCCTTATTCCTGAACAAAAAACCCCTGTGGTCCTTTGGGTTATCAAGCAGCTATTTCAGCAGTCATGACATACCTCTGAATTTTGTCCATTCTTGTACAGCTCAGGCAGACGTAGGAGCGTTTCTGCAGAAACATCTTTGTCAAGGGCTCCAAAGAGAAGAGGGGGCACTGAGGTGAAGAAGAGGTTGAAGAAAATCATCTGCCAGTAATCTAGCATGGTGCTGCCTGAGAAGCCACAGAAGAACTGGTACCAGAAGAGCAGGTTGACGTAGCACTGGGAGAGGCACAGACAAACAGACACAGTAGTTACACCTGTGGTGTTTATTGAGACACTGGTTATCAACAGGGCCTCCTCTGAGGACAGGATTTTGGTTAAAGGCACTGCACTTCATTCCATAGGGCAATATACCCTAAGGGACTGTTTCACAGTGATCCACTGTGACACAGCTTTTTAAAAGCCATTATGGTTCTTTGAGAACATATCAAAGAATAATTAAGTGAACTGTTCACAGCCCTGAGCACCGGATTTCAGAATCCTTTTGGAATCTCGTGTTCCATGTGGAATCAAAGGCCTGCTGCTCCCCAATGCTATGGGGGAGATTAAAGAACAGCAGCATCCTAGTCTGGAGAACGATTTCATATTGCAAATAAATAGCCTTTGAACTCTAAAAGGATGTCCAGTCAAAAAAAGCAAAGTGTTCATTTCCACTACAAATTTTAACAGTAATAAGAAGCAATCCTTATTGAAAATTATTAAAAACTTCACAAAAAAACCAGATACCTTGAATTCTAGGTAAAACGCCTTTCATGCTCAGAGCGTATTTCATGTCAAATGGACTTGTTTTCCCAGTCTTGTAGAAACTGAATTACTTCATTTTTTCCACTTTATATCAGACTTCAATGCATAGATCATTTGCATATACATTAAATTTTTAATAAAAATGACAGATATGAATGCATCATTACTTGCAAGTGGTTCCTATAAAAATTCAGAGGTTTCAAGGCAGGCAGTTCTTAGTACACACTCATCTGCATTCGAGTGCTAAGAATCTGATCTCCCTCATGCAAATTTTATTTTGAGGCTCATGGGTATTATTAATAAAGTTTCTTCTGCTGCCATATAAAATTACTAAGCCTTGAGTCCTTTTTCCCTCTGGAATAATGCTATTTCAAAATATATTTAGAGCCTGTATGTTTCTCAATGCTTTATGCAGCACCTTGCTAAGAAGGAAGGGGCATACTATAAACTTGCAAAGTGAAGAAACACGAACTGTAGCTTCATAAAAAGTAAGAGTATAACCTGCAAAAACCAAAACCAAACAACCAAGAAAACCCTCAGACCTGGAATTAACCTTTGCTAGGGTGAACACTTAAGAATCTTAATCATCTTACCACATTTTTGTAGAAAAAGTAAATCACCATCTTTGCCAGGCGAGCATAGCACCAATGTCCATGGACAAGAAGGAGCTTTTTGAGATGCTTAAATCGGGATATTGCAAAGTCACTGGCCATCACAGCCTTGGGGAAAAGGAATAGAAGGTCATTTACAATACATCCTTTTTACATGCTGTGTAATGAAATTTGAACATACATATTGAAGTAATTTCCTACTATTGAATATTGTAGAAGAAACAAACCAACAGACCTCAAGAACATAGCTGGAACTTTCTATCTCTGCAGAGCTCTCCATTTAAGGAGAATAAGGAAGGGGGATGTGTGGGAAAGGATACAGGGCAGAAGCCTGTGGAAGGGAATCCACAAAACCTGGAAACCTGGAAATGCAGCAGCTGAGAAGATTCAGAAACCAGATGCTCACCTAACACTGGGCAGACATCTGCTAATTTTCCAGTCTCATGAGCAAACACAGGTTTGTCCTCACATGATAATTTTTTGGCTCAAAATGCTCTTTTTCTTTTTGCTGCTGGACCCTTAATTACAAACTGCATATTAATTTATGATGCCAACTTGCATTTTTAAGATGACACTTGAGAGTGTAGGGCTGCTTTGAAACTTATTAAGCCTTAAGGGACTACCTGACAAAAGAGGAAAGAAACTGAGAGGATACCTGCATGCCTTCTTGGCCAGATATTCCAATTCCAACATCAGCTGCTTGAATCATACTCACATCGTTTGCACCATCCCCTAGAGTGGGAAGACAGGAGGGAACAATAACAATGCAAGAAAGGCTGCCTCCATCAGAAGAAGGAAATAATCTCAGCAAGGCTGATTATTTCAAATATTCTGTACTACCATGCAGCTTGATCAGAAATGATGCGTGGCATCAAGCATGACATCAAGGCTCTGGTCTTGGTCTCCCTCCTTCCCTGGCTCCACCAGAGCACAATCCAGCACTGGGACAAGCTGGGTGGTGACACAGCAACCCCAACACCCTTTACGTCAGCATCATTTTGTGTTTCTGCTTGGCCAAATCCATATGCTCAGGAACATGTTTTGCAACACCCTATTTCACTGAATTCTCTGAATCTATGACAAATTTGATTGCAGATGACAATGTAACAAGCCAGTTTCAAGAATTATTTTGCTCATTTCAACTCACAGCAATATGTTAAGTATGTAACCAAATTTCCAGGGAAAGAACAGCCATGCTTATTGCTTGCAATATGGAGATGGCAAATTAGGTTAGTTGATAAAGTAAATGAAGCAGAAGGCTGAAAGCTTATGGTTTGAACTGTAAGGCAAAGTAATATTTCAAAAATACAATAGACTTTTCTGTTTTGTCCACAGAGGTGTATTTGTTTAGTTTGGAGTCATCTAAATCAATTCATCAAGGATTTTGGTGGCATCACTTACCAAGTGTGGAAGGAAACTCAAAGCATTTCACAATATTTGGAGGTAAAAGGCAAATGAGTCAGTGCTTAATACCACTCTGATAATTCTGTTTTCACCAGGGAAAATCCTTCAGGAAAAGGGCTTTATGAAAAGATAAAATAGTGACTAATGATGAGTGATTTCCAGGCCCAAAACAAGGACGTTTTGGAGGCAATATGTGCATGTGTTTGTACTGATGTGCATGAAAGGGACTGCTGGGAGATTCTGAATTTGTAGTGCCTTCAGCCTGTTTAAAGGGGAGTGGATTTGCTTCGTGAAAGCTGAAGCAGGACTTTTATATGGTCTTTGATCAGGACAGATTAATCACTGCTGTTTCCTCACTGCATCTACCTGAGGCACAAAAATCTGCCCTGTACAATACACGCCCCACATTCCTCTCCAGGAAAGAGCCTGTTCCCCTGTCTGTGTGAGGTGCAGCGTGGAGGTACCTATGGAGAGGGTCATGGCTCTCAGCTGCCGCCGGACCAGCTTGACCACCATGCTCTTCTGCAGGGGCGTGGAGCGGCAGCAGAGCACGGAGCGGCAGTGCTGCGCCAGCTCCAGCAGCTTCTCCTCCAAACCTCCCTGGAAGATGACGCTCAGCGTCCTCCCATCCAGCACCAGCCCAAACTCGGGGCTGGCCACCTCAGGGGCTGGCAAAGGTGTTGGGATGATGCCAAAAAACTTCCTCCGTGGTTTGCTGCACTCGTAGTTCTTCTTCACCTCTTCCAGGGTTAAATTCAAGAGAGATTCACAGGTTTCCTGTGAGAAAACAGAAGTGGTTCTAGAAATAGTTATCTCCATCTACAGCACAGCACCTTGCCAAATGTGTGTTTGTATAATCATGCCAGTGGGTTTAAGCCTATCAGATAAACGTGAGGGGAAATTTACTGAGAAATTTACTGAGAAAATGCACTGATTCATCTGATTGGAGATTATTTCAATAGGATACCATCCAATCCCTCAGTGAAAACACTGCACATTTTATCAGCCAGTTAACTGAGGTAAGGAATTATTGTAAAAGAAAATATAATAATCTTTACATCAGGAAGGCATGTGTGCATTTATGCTGAGAGTTCAGAAATTAAAAAAAAATATTTTCTTTTAAGGAGATTGAAAAATCTAATTCTGATATGAATGATGTGAGATATTGCAGCATTGGCTTCCACAAAAAATAAACTGTGGTAAGAGAAACAAGAGGTCCACATTTTCAAAATTATCCAAAACTTTCAGAGCTAGGCCTTTTCTAAGTCACATATCAGGTGTGTGTCATAATTAGAAACAGAAACAGAACTTCATATTTTCAAGCACTGTGCCTCAAACACAAAGTCCTTCTGTCTTAGCAAATCTGCTTCATGTTGGATCAAGTCCCCTTTTAGATGCCAACAACTGGAATTGACTTATTACTAGATGGAAACAGATTCAAGGGGAGAACTCTCACCTCTCCCATCCAGATCTCCTGAACTGGCACATCACTATCAGAGAAAATCCAAAATGATATCAAAGTTATTTTGCTCCCTCTTAGTACTCAAAGTCCTCCTTCAGTGGCCCTGAATATCTGAAGAGCTAATCACTCCTCTTTCTGCCTTTTCTGTCAGCTTTATTGAGTGATGATTCAGTTCTATAATGTTATTTTCACTTTATGTAGCATAAAGTACATGTGTAGGATGTTTGCAAGATTTAAATTACACTTAAGTGGGAGGTTCTGGAATCAAATGTACCTCTGACATCTAATAAAAACCTGCATCTAGCATGAACACCTAAAACCCCTAAAAATATTGAAGAAACGTCATCTTTCTGTGAACAAACCAAAAACAGTAGTGGAAATTCCTGGTTTGCCTGGACTTGCCTTTTGAAAAAAATCTGCCAAGCTACCTAATTATGTTGCATCTTCTTGGAAGATATCTCATTTTCAGTGTTGGAATAATCTGCTGGGCTCAGGGGTAAGGAGAGGCCCTTCCCACTGACACCACTTCAAGACCTAACTCTGACAAAAGGAACAGGTTAAATGCTTTGTATATATTACTTGTGTCCCTTGCTGCTGCTATTGGGAGCCTCTTTCAGAAGTTTGTCTTTGGTTTAATTTTGAAAGTGAGGGAACTAAATCTTATTGTGGAGAAACTCCAGTGTCCCCTGAACCAAGGGGATTCCCCATGTGTATGCAGGCTGTTTCTGAGCCTGGAACCAGGGCACAGAGGCTGCTGTGAGTAAATGCCCATGCTGGCATTTCTGGGAGCCAGGGTGGTCCTGCCTGTAGCATCTCTGCTCTGGCACCACCCCTGTCTAATTTCCATCCCTAATGTATTCATTCTGCTTCCTGTTAAAGCAGATATGTGTTTCAAATGGAATTACACCTTGGAATATTTTCTGTGCCAGATTCCACATCATCTTTGCCTGTTTCTCTATTTCCATGACATTGAAAGAGACAGATATTTGCACAGGGTTTTTTCTCGTTTGGAGAGGTACTAGCTGCAGACAAAAGCAGTTAGAAACCAGGCCATCTCACTGCTCCATGCAACTGCCTAAACCAGTCAGTATTTTAACAGTGTTTACTTAATCCTCACAATAGCTTTATTGAGAAAAGCAAGCTTGTCTTGGGAACACTGGTTCTCTGGGGAGAAAAGCTGAGGCAGCCCAGGTGGGTGACTTGTCTGGTCACACAGGGAAGCCCTGCCTGCCCTCCACAGCCTCGTGCCAGCCCTTGGGAGAGCTGAGCTCACTGTGCCTCTTGCTCCTAATGCTATTTGGGGCTTTTTGACTGTTCTTTGCTAAGTGAGGTCTAAAGCAACGGAATGCCAAACTGCAAGACACAAAGAAAAGGTAAGATAGGAAATTCTCTGCATTTTGTCTTTCTTTACTCACCTTATTTTCAGTGTTAATGGTGAAGACAGTGTCCCTTTGGTTCAGAAGCTTACAGGAGTATGCAATGTTAACTGCTGTCTCCTGTTTGTCTCCTGTCAACACCCAAATTTTAATCCCAGCTTCTCGGAGGGACACAATAGTGTCAGGAACTCCATCTTGCAGGCGATCTTCAATCCCTGTTGCTCCTGGGCAAACAGGAAAAGAAGAGAAATAATTATCTTTTTATTGAAAATCAAGTTGCTATTTTCTTGTTTAAAAAAAGCTCTTTGCTTTCCAATCACGCTGCTGAACTTATTGAGAATTGAACCAAGGTTTTTTTCCAACAAACAAACATGCAGGCACATGATCTGCATTTGGATTAAGGTCTGAATGTGTCAACAATCAAGTTCTGTCTCTTCATTTTGCTTATTGCAAGAACAATGCATTTCATTTCTTCCTAATAATCCAAAATGACAATGTGCTGGCAGAGGAATCACAGCATATGAATTTTAAAAATGCTGCATTAAGTCCCATCAAAGCAACCAGAAAAGATGAACTTTGACTGTTTAAATGGATGCTGTCCCTGTTGTCAAGTCAGATGCTTCAGCCATCAAAGGCAGAAGAAACAGAACAGTACATTTTCTTTTTGAACATGCACAAACTTAGAAGCAGATGCCAACATTCATCCTGATGATGTTGGGAAATGACCATCTGAATGTTACAATACTCCTTATCCCCTCCACTAGAGGTCAGTTTGAAGATGCTGTAACTGCGGTACATTAAAGATAGATATTGATTTAGGCTAAGGGAACACTTTTTGCAAATTAAAGTGTGAAAGCACATAGAGCCTTAGTAATTGACAAAGGTAACAGACTCTGACAAAATCTACATTACCTCTTATGTGGTCTGCTTATGGCATTTAGCATTATTACTCTAATTTTTTAAATCACTGCAGAGATTATGAGAAGCCATAATATAAGCTATTACTTGCAATCACAGAAATTTAACAAAATATGGGCACAAATTGCAGTCAAAGAAAAATGACAACTCCAAAAATCAAAGTCATAAAGAACAAAATGTTTGCAAACAAAATAGAACAGAAAGCACTGAAGTGCTCCATAATTTAACAGAATGATGTTGTTAGATATGAGATGAACAATACAGAAATGTCAATCAATGTAAGTTTTAATGCTAAACATCCTTTTACAAAGTGCACAAAGCAAGCACAACAATGCAACAACAGTAGGAACTCAGCAGCAAAACACCTACATGTTCAAGTTACTGGATTTTATAATACAGTTCAATTACCAAAATTCCCTCAGAATTCATGCCCAAAACTGAAGTTAATTTCTGGTATTTTATAGGTTTATCTAAGGATATGTATGCATGATTGAATTGTGGGAACTTCATTCTCTGCTGTGTCAGCTGAGCCACAGTAACAGCTGATGTGCATGTTCTTTGCTCAGGGCACACAATAGCTTCAAGGAACTTTTTCAAAGTTACTGCTGCCCCAAATGCACAAGAACTTGTCATTGGACAACAGACACTGTCATTGGATTTTATCTCCCTAGCCTGGAGATTTCCAAACCACAGAGGAAGTATTTTAGATATAAATTAGTATAAGCTGCTGTCTGCCTTACTGCCAGGACTATCACAGGAGAGCAAGTGATACTTCATGCAATGACAATTCTTATTTTTAGCTACCCAGCAGGGTGAGTTTGGTCTCCAGATGCTGTGCTGTCTCTATTAACAGCTCCTCTCTGTTGTCAATTGCAGCTTCTGCCTCCTGACGAAAGTTGGCCCATTTTTGAAAGTCATCTTCATTCAAGACCTGCATAACACAATTTAAACAGTGTTTATGTGAAATTTAAATAAGAGAGGAATGCCAACATTCTGGATCACAGAACTTAACTTGTATCCAAACTGGTAAAGTACTGTGTCATCTTTAAAATAACTCAGACTTTTCCAAGAGAAAACTGCAAGAACAAGTAGTTTGTACAAATGACCTACAGCTGAGACTCAAAAATATGACGTAGAGAATTTTGCTTATCTGGGAGCACACAGTTTCTGAGGGCTGATCTACATTTCTCCAGAGCTTGAATATGATCTATTTGTTGCACATTGACAACATGACACTAAAATTTAGTAATTCAGGCTGAGAGCAAGATTTTTGAAAGTTGAATGCCAAGCAAAAGAGAAGAAGGTTGGCTGCTCAGCAGACTCTGTTTCTTGCTTGGAAGCACTGTTGAGTAGGTCAGCTGAGTACTATAGGAGAAACAGAAATAAATGATTTGAGACTGACTAAAAATCCCTCATTGGGTCACACTGAGGAAAAAAAGACTCCAGACAAGGCAAATAGATGGACAAAGAGATGGGCTATATCTGGCTGGTTGTCTGAAGGAGAATTATAACCACTATATTTTTCTAGCAATTCTATTGCCAGGTACAGAACCTGGTGCTCTCCCACCTTCATAGCTATGCACAGGGTTCTCAGTCCGTCATGGGCATAGTAGTCCAGATGCTTCTGTGTTCTTTCTTTTATTCTTTTCAGTCTCTTGTCTGAGCTAATGTCACCTGTGAAACACAAGGAAAAGATTCCATATTTTAAGTACAGATAATTTTCAATCTAATGGCCCAAGATTAAAAAAGAGTGGGCATTGGAGAAAAGTGGATTCCATTACAATACCAAGTTCTTGAAAAGCTCAAAAGTATTGGCTGTGCAGAAGCTGAAATCTTGCTAAAAATTCCTGTTGCCTTTAAAATAACATTACTTGTGGTTTTTTAAATTAACATTACAGCACTCTGGCTGACAACCTGAAAAGCAATGGTCGGGGCCTTATGACAGTATTATTGCAGAGTACACAATCCCCATGGGTTAGCATTATCAGTGAATTTTAATTATCCCATTCCATATTCTAAGCCCTTCTGAAGTTGAATAAATATCTCAGTTCTGATCTGCAAGGATAATACTAGACAAAGCTTATTCTTTCTTTATACTCCTAATATCTAGATGTAATATGTCATGCAGAAAAGACCAGAGCACACTTCTTGTTAGGAGACACAACAGAAAACCTCCCTGGCTCATTACCTGTGGTGGAGTTGTCCAGCAGGTCCATTATTACAGAGTCAGCGCCTTTTGTGTAGACCACAATCTCCTTGGTGAGAGGGTGTCTCACCACTACAGACATCCTTTTCCTGACTGAGTCAAACCCCAGGGTGTAGAGGATATCAAAGGTCAGGAGTGTGCCCTGGGGCAGCTGCACCGTGACCTGCTCGGGCGTGCGCGACACCAGCATGAAGCCGTAGGCCTGGGCAGCGTAGACCAGAGCTGCCTCGTCCGGGCTCTCGGCCTCGTAACAAAAGTCTGCTGGCACAGAAATGTTGGTTGCAGACCTAAAAACTTCATCCAAGGAAGCAGCACCGATCTCTGTGCTGCCCTTGTCCTGGAGTTCCTGGCCCCCACTGCTGGCAGAGCCGTCGTTGTCGTTGTCATTGTCACAGCTCTCCAGCACAGCAAGAGGCTCCTCGGTGTTCTTTGCACTGAAGCTGGCACCAAGCTGTGAGCTAGACTGAGATGATGAAAAAGATTGACTAAGGCTTGCTAATTTTAGCCTTTGAAATATCTGATGAATCTTCTCCAGGGTGATTCCTGAAGGTTTTATTGGTGGTGGGATTGTGACCTAGAAATAGGAGAAAAACGAAGGTTAAAAATAAATAAATGTGAACTTCCAGAGCCTTCTCAAAACCTCTCTCTACTTTTCTGCACCTAAATGACAATAACTGCAAATTTCCATTTTTCCCTCTCCTTCCATTTAACCGTGGTGGAAGGATTTAATAGAGAAGTCATATGAGAGATGCCATCCAAATTTGATGGTGATTTGTATTTCTGCTTCTGAAGCAAAGATGTAATGAAGCTCTTGTAGTTCTGTCAATTGCCTGGCAGATCAGAGAAAACCCAGTGTGTTCAACAAACTTCTTACAGCATATATAATACAAAATCTAAAAGAAAAAGTGCAGATCCTGGGGTAGCCTTAACTATCATCAAACATTATAAGACAAGCTAGGAAGGGATACACAGGCATGGAAGCAGTAGACATTACAGAAAATGTAAAGGAACTAGAGGACAACAATCAAACAAAGCATTTTTCACCACTTCAGTTTTCACTGGACACTGCGTTGTTAAATGGAAGCATGACCCATTTTCCTCGTGTATTTAAAGTTAGATTACCCTTTGTCTTGGCTTTGTAGCTGTGGAGACCAGAACCGTGTTGCAAATGGCAAGAGCAAGAAAAAAATCAGTAAAGGATGTGGAAGTCTTCGTGTGTATAAAAGGAGAGAAGCTCTCAGTCTGGAGGGCAGCTTCTCGCACTCGCCGCAGCAGCCTGCTATCAGGAGTCACGTCCTTTTCCTGGAAGAGAAATTACTCAGGATTATTTTCATTCACTCTTGTCCTCAAGGAAGAACTGGCAACTTCATAGACTTCTTGAATTTAGACCTAGAAAAATGCCTTTTGTACTTAACATCTATGGAAAGGTGGTGTCTTTCAAAAAGCTGCATCACTAGATAATTAGAAGGAAATGCATCTTCAAAACGAAGATGATCTCAGAATTTTATTTCTTTTGAGATCTACTAAAAATCAGAAAATTCACTACTGTGCACTTCACTTCAGCAGCAACTTTCTGAACTCAAAAGTTTCCTCTGGAAAAATTGAAAATTGACAGGCTAATTGTGGCATCAGAGACAGGTTTTAAAAACAAAACAATAAAAAAAAAAATCAATATTTATCAGAACAATTTTTATCATCTTTTTCACATTGAATGAAAACAGCGCTGACCTGAATTTTCAGCCTGAACATATATTAAAAACCCTAACTAAGCTAAAAAGAAAACTGAATAAAACAGCACTAATGAGGATAATCATTTAAATTTGCCACCTTTTCAATGTTAACAATTTTGTTAGTGAAAATGCCAATAAAAAATGGCTAGTGCCATTCAGTTTTAAGGTTTCCTCATTAACTTGATAGCATTTCTTCTACTTGATGGCATGAAAACCTGATGACCATGGGACAATGAAAATTTTTGTTAAATGTTTCTAATAGCAAGGCACTACTTATTGGAACTATTAAATCGAGAAGGAAATGTACTGTCCCTTAATTCACAAGAACTCCTAAAGGTAGAGAGTAAATGTTAATTTTCTATCGTGTTCCAGTTCTGAAAAATGGATTTTTCTTACAAACTTCTCTCTGCTGACATACACACAAGTCTACAAACACACTCTGTATACCAGGAGTACTCAGGATGCTGCAGATTTGTAGCAGAGTAAAAATGCATCAGATGAAGTGATGCAAGTTCCAAAGGGCAGGAACTATAGAGACACCAAAAATTTATTATTCCCATTTTATTAATAGGGAATTGGCTCAGGTGGCAAAGGGTAGTACTAGGTCTCATTTAAAGATCATACAGGGCAGGCTCTGTGCAATATCTAAATGTTTCTATTTTCACAATTGTCATAGGACATTAAAACAATTTATCCTGTTAGAGTGACACCTTTGAGCAGCTAAGGCTGGTTATTTCCATAAGAGCAGCTTAATGGTTTTCTACAAAAGAGGCATTTGATACTAGTTCCTCAGATACTGGTTCCCAGTGAATTAAAAAAAAAATGTTTATTTCTAGAAGAAACAGAAAAGGCCTGGCAGTAAAAAATGTAATTGGAAAATATACTGGCAAGAAATTTCTTTATCATCCTTCAATAGTCATGACCTATAAGAAGTTCTCAGAAGTCATGGCTCCTGGGTTCTCAAGAATCCATGGAGATATTCTCATCAACTCACGAGGTTTGGGCTGGAAAATACTGGGATAACAACTTAGAGAACTCTCTTATTCCAAGAACAGTAGGAGTTCTGAGTGGAACTTACTACATGACAGCAGAACTGAATGAAGTAAGTAGGATCTTATAACAACTGCAGCAGAGTTCTGAGAATTCTGCATTTATCAGACTATTTTTTTTTTTAATAAAAAGATTTGGATGGGTTTTCCAGGCTTTTAACTTTAATTGGAATTCTAATTTTGAAAGTGTATGACCTTTTAGTGTTCACAAAAGCCTTGTCTGAAACATCTGTTAAAAAACTTTCAAGACGAGCAGAACAGTCTGACTTTAATTAGGCTGTGGGTGAATTTGGGAAGCTTCAGACCTAAATTGCAACAGATCCTGCTCCCCCCAGACTGCAGCCTGCACGCTCCAATTGAGGACTCTGATTCTTTGTCTCCCCCTTCCCTCTCTTAGCTCCAGCAAGGCTTGGATTTCTCCTCTCTACCTGTGGCTGTTATCACATTAATTGAAGGGTCAGGACCACAATTAGACTAAGAATGATTTATTGCTTAGTTAACATCAGTCTCAAAGGCCATGAGATTTATGAGACAGCAAGCAGTCAGTCTAAGATGGTCACAAGTTCTTTGTTGCAGACAGTATATAACTTTCTAATCCAATGGACAGTTGCCACAGAGTGTTTTGCTTTTCTAACCTGTCCCCTTGACTTCTTTCTGCTGCAATGTGGATAGTTTTGTCCAATAAGGTCTTACATGTACACATATATGTCTCTATTACAACATCTACCTGTCTTCTAACTCTTAGCTTATTCTATTCAAACCACAATACTGAGACACTGAAATTTTCCAGAGTAGAAATCCAGTTTGATTTAGGTGAAATGTACATCTTTGAATTAAGTCTGTAGCTTGCAAACATAGCTGTTTGGTCTGACTCCTGACCCAGAGATTCTTTTGGATAAAAAATATTAGCGGCAAATGTCACTTGAAATCAGTAGAATGAATATGTATGGACCTATTGTGAAATTGCATGAATATGTATTTGAGAGGGAGATAAAAAAGAATCTGGAGTTCCCAGAGGCACACATGTCATTTTAGGGGAACAATTCCCACATGCATCCAGCGCTGTAATAAACATACTGGCTTTACAACTTTCACAAAAGTTGTGGAGTTTGTTTGTTCCACAAATCAATACTACACTATACAACCCTTCATCATCTTATCTAATACACTTTCTTACTCAAGACATATTCTATAGAAACATAAGCTTATGATTTCTCTGTTCAATGTCTGTGTACCTTCCTTTCACCCCAATCTAGACATCTCTAAGGCTGTGAATCAAACCCTCTTGAGTCGGTGAAGATTTATCTTTCAGATTCCCACAGCTTTCCATCCCAAAAGCAGCAGGTGGGGTAAGTTAGAAGGTGCTGGCCCAGGCTGCTGGTACTCACGATGGGGCTGCTGAAGGCCACCTGGGACTGGCTGCTGTCACGCCGACCCATGGACCTGCTCCTGGTGTGGCCCTTGGAATGCGCCCGGTCGCTCTGGCACCGCCTCAAAGGCCTCACCGTGCTGGGCTTGTAGGTGGCTGGTCTCTCCAGGTTCATGGGAGGAAGAGTGAAGTGCTGAAGCTTTGCAAAATCCACATTGTCTAAATCCAGCTCTCTCTGTGTTTTCAGTCGCCTGTCTGTAAAAGAAAAATGAAACCTGACTTCTGATTCTTCACTGATTTTTTTTTTCATTGTTTGAGAGGAATTCCTTGATCAGTTAAAAAACCTGAAACAAACTAAACCAAAGCCAAAACATTTCAAAAGCCATCACCAGAAAAATTTCACTGCCCACTGTCCAGCAGTTTCTGGCAATTGCCACTGTCATTATTGCAAGAAAATAAAAATGTGTTTTCAAAGTGATCAGTCACTTTTATGGGCTTCTCTTAATGTTTTGTCTCTTCAGCTGCTTTTTGCAGTTGGAACAGGAGAGTGAAATATGGTAATTCACAAATCTGCTAATGTTTTCAGTCACAGAACACACACATCTTTTTGGCAGCTGCTTGCCAGCTGAACAGGATCCTTTCCACTACACAGAGCATGAAAGTAATGACGAAGAAGGAGCCTGAGTCAACACCATGAATTCAGAGCACGAGTGCCAGGATCCTCCAGACCCAGACTGCAGCCAGGATCCACTCCAGGAAATGAGTACCTGGATTTTTCATATCACACAGAAGGGTACGTTTACACAGTCACAGAAATAATTACTTTTGGACCCACTGAGTTTAAACATTAACTAGCATCAGTTTGTGAGCTTATAAAAAAGGTTGTCTGGTGTTCATTTAGAAATGAAAGAGAAAGTGTGTTCTCTTTGAATGCAGGGCAGATCCTGGAGGTGCCTGCAGAGGGATCTGGAAAACCTTTCCCATCTGCCTTCTGAATCATTTAAAACACCTTCACTTTTGTGAATCTCTGTAACAGCAGTCTCTCACAAAAAAGTGACTATTCCACAAAACTCTACATTTGATCAGAGGGCTCAGTATGTTTAGGTATTAATATTTAAATTAATGACATTTAATTGTTCGGACAAAAAAATCAAGTATAAAAAACTGTCTCTCACCATTTTCCTGATGGGAAAACTCAATTCCATCAATAGTACAGCGTCGAAATACCATTTTATTTTCTGTTAGTGTCCCAGTTTTGTCTGAGAAGATGTACTGGATCTGTCCAAGGTCTTCAGTAATGGTGAGGGCACGGCACTGGATGGGCAAATCTGCTTCTTCATCATACAGGTCAATGTCATTGTGAATTAAGAAGACTTGGCCCAGTTTGACCAATTCAATTGACACATAAAGAGATATGGGGATTAAAATCTGAAAGAGAGTTTAAATTCTCAGTGAGGGGCGAGATAAATTTCACTGCTTTCTACCAGCAATTAGTCTTGGCACAGGTTGAATGATTTCCAAAGAAACAGCTCTTCCTAGAGACATATTTTAGGACTGATGAATTCAGGGGTGAAAAAAATTCCTGCACACAATTGCGATGGAGAAACAGGGATAAGTGGCAAACATAAGACTCAGTTCCTAGAGTACTAAATTCAATGGTGGGTCCTTCATAGGATGCCCTTACAAAACACATTTTCTGGACATAGGATCATTCTCCCTTTTACCCTTCTGAAACTCTGAAAGGATGGACTAGCACAGACTCTTAGTGCAGAAAAGTTTCACAAACCATTACTTTGCACACAACACTTCCCACCCACAAGCTTCCTTGCCCTCAAAGAATAATGAATTCTTAAGATGCACAAATATTCTGTTTCAGTAATGAAGAATAATCCCCCAAGGAATCTCTGAGCAGCTCTGAAAGTTATATTCAAATTTTGTTAATATTAAAGAAATTCTGTCCACTTAAATCTCAGTGCTGACATCAAGAATTCTGAAAAGCAAATGTAATTTTTTCCCTCACCCAATAAAATATTCTTTCCCAATTAGGCTTAATCACACTCAGATATACAAGTATCCTACGTCTAATTTAGCTTCTTTCCTAGACCAGATGAACCATACCTAGTTATTATTCCCCACTGGCAAATGGCAATTTTTGTTTCACTATTTTTCTGAGCTGCTAAGTGGCCTTCTTATTTTGGAATTCTGGATATAGGCAGAAAAAAAAAAAAAAGCTGGCATTTAGATGTAAATATCTTATTTGCATTTGCTAGATACTCTGAGTTAAAGATATTGTACATGTATATCCTTGTGGGGTTTCAATAGCAAGAAAATATAAAGTTAGAAAGAAAAAAAAAAGAAAAAAGAAGCATTATTTCACACTTGGCTGGTTTGAAACACTCCTAGCAATATTTTCAAGTAGGATTAAGAAGGCACTGCACTGCTATTAATTGATATTAATTGTTCATTAGCGATTATACTCAATTTTGCGTAGCTTCTTCTGTGGAGGTAACAGAGAGGTTTTTGTCTTTTACCTGCAACAGGATTATCATTGTCAGGAACATGTAGAAACCAGCAAGAACTGGAGCCACAAAATTGCCATTCTGGTCTGGGACATCGTAAGGTGGATGCTCCCAAAAGTTTCCTGTCCAGATGCCATGCCCTGTAGGAATGAGGTACAAGGCTGAAATGGGCTGGGCAGTGGAGTGAGGGACAAAGCTTCTGAAACATGCAGATATGGACTGCTCTAACAAAACAGAGAGAGTATTTCCAAAACAATGCTCCCCAAGCAATGCTGCAGATCTTTTGGAGAATGCAGAGCACCTGCAGAGCTCTGCAGCACATGCACATGATTGATATGTAAGTGACAAATGAGTATTCAGGGATATTTTCATTCACCTCTGCTTCATCAGGTGTTTCCCACAGCTCTTAGCTCTGCACAGATCTTTTCTCACTCAGTGTTTCCCTGCTGGAAGACTCCATCCCTATCACCTATCCATAAAAATCCTCAGAGCTGAAGACTCTTTTTCCTCTCACAGAAGTAAACCTTAGAATCTTTGTATATAGACAAACTAAACTATTTCTTATCCTCCCTGACCATTCTTGATTTCAGTCTGTCTTTGCTAAGAGTTGACAAATGCCCTAAATTCAGTCTGGGCCACTCATCTTTACATTCCTTCAATTAAATCATACCTCAAACTGCTTCTCCCTCCGTGTTTTAAATACCAGCAGTAGATATCATTGCACTGCTACAACAAAGCCTCTGTTCCAGGACTTAACAACATCCCATCACAATTGTTTTACCACTTTCCATACTTTCCTTATTGAACTAAACTTTTGTAAAGGAGGGTACTAAATTTACAGCATCAGTAGCTTCCCACAGAGCTAAGGCAAACAACTTGGTTTCCCTCATTGCATAATTTGTCCAGATGCCAAAACCTCTATCAGTCCAGCTCAAATCAAACTTCCATTAACAGCAGTTAACCAAGCAGTTGTTTTGCAGCATCTGCCTACTGAAATGCTGCCAAAAATATTCAAATTATTTCAGCAATGCTCTTTGGCTGCTTCAGACCACAGTCACATCTGAACAAGGAGAACTCTGCTCTACAAGCCACTTCTTACCCCAATTTATCACTGTGTGCAAGAACAATTCTGATAACTGATCCATCAGTGATACTTTTTCCTAGAACCCTAAATTCAGAAAAGGCTGCAAAGCAACAACTCATGGCAGAGTCTCTGGACATTTGGGATGGCTGAAAGGTAATGGACTTTTTATGCTTTTACATGTTTAACTTAGACGAAGAATATTTTGTTTTAACCTGACTAGATAAATTATTTTTCAAATGCTGATTTTTTTCATCTCAGACTTCTTTTAACCTTAAATTGAAGGACTTTATTACTCAAGAGCCCCTACACACCAGACAAGGCAAGTCTCTACATTCACATGACAGCAGCCATGGAACAAGGAAAATAAAATCTCTCATTCACACAGATCTCAGTTGTGAAACTGAAATCCCATTTTGGTGCCAAAAGTCCCACTGCAACATGAAGCAGTGATGCTAAAGCAGTCATCAAGTCTGTTCAGTTGTTCATCTGTTTTGGATGGTCCTTACTTCCCATGGCATCCCACCTGATGACTGACTGGTGCCACATGACATTCCTCCAGGGCAGGCACAGGAAAACTTGATTTGGCTGTTGCTAAATCAGAGCAGTAGCACTGAGTAAGCTGGCACTGAAACAAGATCCATTAAAAGGAAAAGGGGCTCATGGGAGCCCCTGTCATCTCCTCAAAGCATTGCCCTATTCAAAAGTCAGTACACTTAAAATTTGGTCCTTTGCTCTGAATGATGAGATCCTGTTAATTCTGGCCTGCCTGGGACAGATTGCCATCAGAGCTGCAAGGCAAGCAGGTGCTTGCACACAGTGAAGATGATCTTTGTGAGATTACCAGTCCAGTAAACTCCAGTCAGTTACCAAACACCAGTTAATAAATTCACACGTGGTCACCAGCAAGGACCCCAGAAAAATGCAGGATATCCCAACACAAGCAATTAATCCGTTTCACAGCCTGATGTAAAGGGGCTTTTGAGAAGGAAGCAAGCTGTGGAGGATGTAAACTGAATGAATTAGTTATGAGCAGCTTGTGGGTTCTAAATTGTGTGTCTCTGTTTAATACCACTCCCAAACATACTAGAGGAAGACACTACTGAAATGAAAGTAAAGCAAAATCATTTTACTTTTGCTGCTATGCACAAGGAACAAACACCCCCTCAGGAGGGAAGGAAAATCTCAGCTGACAAATATCCATTCCTACAATGATTCCTACAAGTCCTACAGGATGGCTTTCTCTTGCTTTACATGTATGATACCATGGTGGGGATGAATCTTATCTGAAACATTTATAGCCACATTTTGTTCACCTGAATTGCTCAGATTTGCCATTTTAACTGATTGGAAAGATCAAGGAGCCTAAAGACCCCAAGAGCATTCAGCCGTAGATCTCACTCATGTCTGTAACATCCATTTTAATCACCATTTGGGAAATAGATTTTTGTCAGTGGTTCATACCTACAGCTCCAACAAGGCACATCACAAGCAGGAGTCCCACACATGAGAAGATGTCCCTGTTCATCCTCTGCTCGATCCTGCTGCGCTTGTAGCGAGGGCCGCTGTTGTTCAGCATGGCCTTCGTCTCATGACCTTCCAAACACAATGAATATTATCATGCTTATGTAATAGTTTGCATTTTGGTCTGGTTTTTAAAAAAGTATTCTCCCCCCAGCTGAGGGCGGGCTGACTAATGTTGACATTCAGAACTTTCCTTGTCCATCTTCCTATTTGACAGAGTCTAAATATTGCAGTTTACCAAAAACCTCCATTATATCACAGGTTTCAGCTGTCATATACATTTTTCTGTCCCAATGATAGCAGATTAAGTAGGATCATAAGGTTTATATAAAATATCAAAGCCAAATAACCACAAGAAGAACAAGAAAATGAACGATAGTATTATATTCTGGCATTTTATGAACAAATTGTTTAGGTGCTATACAGATTCCTGAAACTTAGATTTGAATATTTTTCAGCAGCAATTCAAAAGGCACTAGATACATTTTGTATATTAAATAAAATTCAACAAGTCAGTGAAAACCAGTAATATTTAGCTTTTCATTATTTGATTGTAAAGTGCTGACAAAACAGTCATATGAGAAATAAAAAAATCCCCAATCCTTAAACTTAGTGAGATAGAGATGAGCAGCTATAATAATAATAATGAAAAAAAAAGGAGTGCTGCAAGAAGTCAAGAAGCAGAAATTACTTTTTCAGTTCTATTAATGTTATCTAAATTGTGGCTCCACAACTGGGATATCTGGACACCATCTGTTGTTATATTGATTTGTATATTTTATGTTTATTTCTGCAGTCCTTTTCCCTGAAAACACAGACCCTGCAGGCTTGTATTTAGTTTTCATTTGTATGTGCATGATGTGTGTGACAAGGACTGTTTTCCAAACTGCCTTTTAGGTTTCTCTAGGGAAGTGTTTTAACTCAAGATCTGGAAGTTAGGCGCAGTTCAATCACACCTGCTGGATTCATTCCAGGTTTACATCAGTGGTTATTAATTAAGAAGAGAGCTAGAGAGAAAATTAGTCTCCAGCCTTATGTTCAGGACATTCACTCAAGAGCTGGGGATCCTGGCTTAATATTCCAATGGATATGTAATTATTTACAAAACCTGGAGCTGTGTCAGTGGGACCAGTTTATGCTACCAGTGCTTCTGTCCTTCCAACTCACACATAAGCACAAAGCCTCTTGTTCCCCTTAGGCAGCTATTCAGTGTACAGGCAGGAGATTTGTGCTCACTCCCATACAGGCAGAACTCAGAACAAACCCTAAGCCTTCCCTTTGGTGAGCAAAATCTCTTAACCACAGAGCTACACTGAAGGGGACAGCACTGCTGCTGCATTTCTGTTCCTCCAGCAGCTGTGTGAATCTTATTCCTCACTTTTCTTTTATGTCAGGTGTAATGGAATGCTTTGTATTGAAATCAAAACAAGCCAAAGCCCTCTAATCCCTCCCAGAAAGCCCTCAAAGAAGTGTTGATGAATTTATTTCAGGAAGAAATCGTGATGAGCTTATTTCCAAATATCAGTTCTACCATTCCTTTCCACTTCAGGTGATCATCAGGAAAAGAACAGTTCTGTAACAGTTATCACCTTCTAAGGACCAGAAAATCAGAAATATAGGAAATAAACAGCTTTGTTCTCCTCTAATCCTCACCCTTTCCTGTGCTGTAAAGCACAGCACCTACCCCCCTATTGGTACCTTGTCTCTATTTCTGGATGCTGATGGGCTCATCTAAAATTTTCTGGTACTTTAGTATATGAAAAGCATATAATTCTTGCTGCTGTCCCAATCAGAATGAGAAAACTACATTGGCTGTCACTCTGTAATGAGGTTTTTGTGTTTTATGCTATTGCTTTGTGTAGAACAATTTGGGTAGCCATGAAAAGTAGAACTGTCCTCGGGTCAGATGGGAACTGCACAGACCAAGCAATTGCACTAAGTGATGGCTGCACTCCTCACAAAGGCTCCCATTAGAAAGAAAGTTTGAGGAGTAATAGAGTCATAAAAATGGAAAGTGTGCCATCTTATTATGTGACTGATCTTGATTGTTCAGAAAAGGTCACAGACCATGATTAAAAGCCAGAGTATAATCAATGTCAAAGAACCCTAGAAATGAGGCTGATACTGACTAAACCCAATCTAATTTTAGGGGAAAAAAAAAAACCCAAAACTTTTATGCTGACATTAACAATAAGAACTCAGTTGGAAATTGATTTGAAGACCTACTCCTATGAAAACCACCATGTCTTGGGTAAAACTTTAAAACTCCAACCTTTTCTACTGGCAGCTTAAATAACATAAATGGAGACCCACATTAGGATCTGTGCTGCTGATGAAGGGAACATACTGGGAAATCTGAGCTAAACAGGAGAAAATGAGGAACTGCAACAGGAGAAGGGAAGATAAATTACCCCAATTATATCAGGAATGATCCCCACTGAGATTTTTACACAGTAGCTGCTTTAAAAAAAAAAAGGATTACAGAGTTTGGCTCTGGCTCTCCTCCTCTGCCCAGTGGGCACCACCTTTGCATGTGGTGTTCACAGTGAGAGACCTGCAAAGGCAAAGCTGCCTTGGAAACATTTGGGAGCTGCAGACATTCAGAGTCCAGTTGTGGAGCAGTGAAATTTTCCTTTTGTCAGGAAAATTGTGCCAGGCTCTGGAGATTAATCTAAGCTAAATGACTCTCATAAATGCAAAACTTCTCTTTTCTCTTAGGTGGCTCAACCCTGAACCCCTTGCTGCTGATTAGGAATAAAAGAGTTAATATAACTCTACTGGAAAGATAATAATAGCTAATGGGATTAATTGTTGTGCTTGAATTGACTTTTATTTAATCTGCAAAGAAGAGGGAAGCTGATACACTCTGTCTGATGCAGAAGAGGACACAGCTGGCAAAGCCAATGATAAATCATGCTCACTGAGTAAAAGCAGTGGTAACACTCCAAAGGTAAAAGATGCTGAGGAACAGATGAAGTGACCCACTGCTGAACCTGCCACTGCTGCATTTGATCTGGGCACCAACACTGCCTCTCTTTGTCCATGTCTCCTGCATGAAGTTCATGGTTGCACAGACACACTCTGTCTGTGTCAGCACAAACCTGAGCTGCTGCTGCCTTTTCTGTCACCTCCAGCTGCTGCCTCACTGCCTCCTGCATGCTGGCACTGGCACAGATTGAATGGATGAATGAAATTCACAGATGACTTTTTTTTTTTTTTCCTAATTAGCTCTTTAGCTGCTCCAGTTTCTACCCTGAGGAGCCAGTGAGACCTCCCTTAGGGCAGCTGTGTAGATTTTATGACAGATGGAATTATTAATATAGCAAGAGCTGAGGGTTAAATACACCTGAGCAATTTTTTACTTGTCTGGGTATTTTTACAAGATATTTGACATGCACAAGGATACTGTCACTTGCCAAAGACCCAGTGCAAGACTTGCTGGCTTTGGAGATGGATGAGTAGTACCTTAAAAAAAAAGTTATATACCTTTTCTGTGCACTACCAGTTTTTAAAACAAAATGTCAAATTAGGTTGCAATATTAGACTATATAGTTATTTTTTTAAGGATATTTACAGGGAAGTTCTCAGTTTACCTAAATAAAAAGTCCATCTTACCTGCATATATAACGATTCCTGCTGCAGCCTCAGTATTTCTGATTGTACATCCACGAAGCAAGAGGTTTTCAATGTTGAGACCTACCTGTTCATGGTTTGGCTGCTCCCTAGAAGAAATATAATCAAATAGAGCAATTAATTTTTCTCTTCTAATGGAGTGTTAAAGAAAATTTTCACATGCATGTCTGTTTCAAGCTGAAATAAAGTAATTTTGTGGGCCCTTTTTTGCTTGTATTTCCTTCAGCTCCAAGGAAACTTTTCCAGCAAAATGTTACAGAGAAGTCCAAGTCTTTCTTTTAAAGACCACTTGCACACTGTGTGTCATGATGCCAATACAAAGCAAGTTTGGCTTTCACTTGGAAATTTATCTGGCAGATTCAATATCTTATGAAAGAAAACAAGAGTCATTTTGCAACTTCTTACAGCCAAATTTATTTTAGAAAGATGAGCAGAGGTTCAGATGAATACATCTTCACCCTGCAAGAGCCTCTGTGACTCCATCAGCCACCAAAAGTCTTTGTGAATCTCACTTCACTGAAGCAGCCTTTGGGCTGAGGAGCTCTTCCTGTTCTCATCCTGGACACAAGACTTTTCATCCTGGCCAGAGGTGCCCCATCACTGACCAGATCCTTCTGCCTGCACCACAAACTGGTGAAAACCAAAATGTCAGGGCCCATCAGGCAGGAAATTTGTTGCTTGCCTCTGAAAATTGATGGCACACACCTGCCCCTACCCACAGCTTTCATTTTACACTGGTAGGTTCTTCCTGAGATCTTTACCAAAGCTGAGAGCTTCTATTTCAGATGCTCTGTCTTGTTCTGTTATATAAAGGTCAGGGTGGGAAAAGACCTTCTTTTTCCTAGAATAATCATTTCTCTCTACTTTCTATTTGGTATTTTGTGTTTCATTTACCAGCAAATAGTCTCATCTCTCAAATGAGGGGCAAGGCTAGGTGTTATATTAGAGCTAAGTGAAGTCCAATGTCTAAGTGCAGCTGCACATGATTACACAACTTAAACTTGCCAAGGGAAAAGGTGTAGGTGTCAACAACCTACAGCTGGTGGAATTGTAAAAACATAATGCCAAAAATCTATTTTTCTTGCAATCTAAATTCAGCCTTGGGGAACTCATTTAATAGAAGCCTTCTTGCATCCCCTTGAACAGAATTTTCTGTGATTGGACATGTCAGATGGATGTCACTAAGTTATTTCTTACCATTTTTATCAGAGACTGCTCCTGCTATTTTATAGAAAGGCAGTAGAGGCTCAGTAATTTATTAAGGGTTCATGGACAAGAAGGTAGCCTGCTCCAAATAATTTGTGTTTACAAAATAGCTCAAATCTCAGCAGACCAAAGAAAGAAACTTCACTAACTCTCAGCAAGGAATTTTCCCCACCAAATCCTTTCTTCTATTCCTGAAGAGGGGAGAGAAAGGCAGCTAATTCCATGTTCCATCAAGCAAGTGAGATAATAGGCATTCACCAAGGAGATTTCTGTCACAGACTTTCAGCTGAGAGTTGAATATTTTGAGGCCAGTCCTGAGTGCTAAGGGTGTGTATTTGTGTGTGTGTTTCCTTGTGTCATATCTCCTACTTTTCTATAATCTAAGTGCTCTTTGCTAATTGGAGGGATTGCTTCAATTTAGATTGTACCCAGTGTGCCCTGAAGCCAACAACCACAGCCAGCAATCAATACAAACTCGACCTCTTTTTCCCTTGTAAGAAATTGCAGCAGAGGAGAATTGGCATTGCTGTTAGAGGCACCATTCTTACAGGGCACAGCCTCAAAACCAGGTTGGGTATGGTCAGTGCTAATGGAGACACTCCCTGGTTTGCTCTGTCAGAGAGCCAGCCATCTGCAGCTCCTCCAGGTGCAACACTCTCACTGCTTCTTGCAGAGCCATTAATTCCTAGTTTAGCTTTTGGTAAATTTAGCAAAGCTGGGGCATGGGTGAGGATGCTGGCACACTCATGCAGTTCAATTATTTGCATGACAATGGGGCAGGCATTTGGTCTGGGGCAGTAGGAACTTTGGACAACTCTCTGCTGTGGTGTGGGAATAACCTGCTCTGTGTTGGAGGGTAAGAGAATGTTAAGACATGAGCCATGACACAGAAATTTGCCTTAATTCATAAATGGGGTTAAATTTGCTGTTATGCCTGTACCAGAATTATTTAATGAAGAAAGACAAAAAAAGAAAGCTACCCTACTTTTTTATACTAGTCTAGTGCATCAGTTCAATAGCATTTTGCATGCATGTTTGACTTTTCTACCTTTCTAATAAGAAGAAACTCTGGATTATTAGGTCTCAGACACCTTTTCCCTGTGGCTGTAAAGGTGAAGAAACCAGAGCCATGCAGATGGATACCTTAAACAATTGGAAGGATTTATCTAAACCTAGTTTAGTCTAATCATCAGGTCAAATGTACATGAGCTTATGTCTAAGTTTTGAAGAGAGCTGAATGTCTGTGAAAATAATTGGTAGGAAACAACTGTAAATGCAGTGCCAAGCCTTGGTTCTACCTTGCCACAAAACAGAGTCCAAGTCTACATTTTATATTGACTTCTGGATCTGGGAATAGATAATAGTGACAACCATCAATTTCCTCAAAATATGTTCCTTCCATCCAATTCCTCCAAGAGGACTATCAAAGTACAGATCAAAAATGCATTTATGGATAACAAATACTTACATGTAACCTTTGAATTTATTGAGATCATTGTTTGGCATTTCACAGACGATGGTGTTTTGGAAAAATTCTGGTTCAAACACAGTATCCTACAAGAGAAAACACACTGAGTGTCAGATCCAATGAGTATTTGAAATGCTAATCACCAAAAAAAGCTTAATTTAGACCACCAGGGCTGGAACACTTGCCCTAGCAGGAGATACAAAGACATTTTAACTCATTCAGCCTGAAGCAGAGCTTCAGAAGGGCTGAGTATTTCCTCATCTTGGAGTAACAACTGGTTAAATTAAGTGAAGAAAATGCTGTGTATTGAACAAGACATCACAGATGCCAATTAGTGGAAACACCTGTCTTCATTTTAAGTGAATATAACAAAGATAGGAGATTTACATTAAATATTAGGAGGAAATGCTTCCCTGTGAGGGTGGTGAGGCCCTGGCACAGCTGCCCAGAGCTGTGGGTGCCCCATCCCTGGGAGTGTCCAAGGCCAGGTTGGATGGGGCTCTGAGCAAGGACTCATGGCAGGGACACCTTCCACTAGGCCAGGCTGATTCAGAGCCCAGCTTAACCTGGCCTTGGACACTTCCAGGCATAGGGCACCCAAAAGTTCTCTGGACAACCTATGCCAGGGCTTCACCCCCTGAAAGGGAAGAATTTCTTCCTAACATTTCATCTAAACCTACTCTCTGTCAGTTTTAAGCCATTACCCTTGTCCTGTCCCTCCATGCTCTTGTCAATAGTCTCTCTCCACCTTTCTTGCATCCTAAACTGAAGAACTAAGCCCATTAGTTCTAACCCAACTGAAGAACTAACTAATATGTATTTATTTCCTCCCTGTTTAAAGAGTCACTTTATAGGCAGAACATCTGAGGGGGTTTCAGGCAGTTCATAAATCACAGGACTAAGCAAAGCTCAAAGAACAAGGAAGAAGCTGGCACACTAAAACCTGCAGTGTGATACCACATCCACTGGGGTTTTTTATCCAGGACACTGTTTACACAAACACACCACAAGAGCAGGGTGATCCAGGAAGTTTTGTCAGCTCTGACCTCCTGAGCACTGGCTGCCACCAGGGCCAGAATTGCATTCCACCCTGTTCATGTAACAGGAGTTCTTAAGTATAGACATTCCTGGGCATACAGTTTATCTCAATAATAACTCAAAGTCTAAAGAAAATCACCATGAATAGGCAGTCAGGCAGGCATAATTTAGCACAGGGGTATTTTCTGATACAGTGGAAGACTTCCACACATTATGAACAACTGAGGCAAAAGTTTGCATTTGTGTAATGGTAGAGCACCCTGTTCTTGTCTAAAAGGAAAAATAGGTAGAAAATCTAACATGTAAATTAGAACTATGTGACAAAAATGCAACATTTTAAAAATGTTAGGTAGCCAGATTACTGTTTTTCTGCTAAATCTTTACATATTAAAATTTAGAGTGTGTCTCAGGAACAAAACCTCTCCCTAATCATCACTGGAAGGCACTGGAAAAGGCCTGTGCTATGCCACAATATGAGACAGCCCTTAATTGTCTTTGAAAAGTGATTTCCATTTGAACAACAAGCGAATAACACGAGTACACCCCTGATCTCAACTGGCCATGGAAATGGTGTGCTTTGTTTAATGTCTGGTTGCTCCATGGCAGCTGTGTCCCACACACCAGTAATCCCAAAAGATCTTCCTAATGGCACTGGTAATAATTGCTGAATAAATTAATTTAATTCCTAGAATTATCTGAGAGGTTTTATTTCCTGTCTGCTGGAGTGATTCCAATGGAACAAAGTTTTCCTCCTCGTGTGCTACCACTCCTTGTTCTGGGTTATTTGAAAAACTGCCCTGCTGTGAGTTTAAAGATACTTGAAAATGTAACAACAATATGTAAGTCATATTTTCTAGTTTACTTCAGGTTTTTCCAACATGAGCCACGTGAGTAAAGTAAAGGAAAGGAAAGTAAAGGGAAAAGGTAAAAAGGAAATGATACTGCCTATGAAAAATAAATGATGATTTTAAGAATTCCAAGTGAATCACAAACTGATGTCAAACATTTAACTTTAAAAAAAACCCAACTAATTTATTTTGGGTTCCTATATAACTGCCAGCCCATAGTGCCTTAGAGCAGCTCCAGCTGAGCTCCCACACCTCCACCTGCCTACGCAGTGAGTTTGGTGTGTCAGGACACCAGAGACACAGAGTCCATAAGGAAACCCACGGATGCTGTGGCAGGGGACCACGAGCTTCCTTCCAGCTGCCATGCAGAAATGAACCCCTCTGTGCAGTGGCTGGAGACAGATGTGCCCATTTTGTGGGTGGCACAGCCATTTGTGGGCTGCCCTGCCGCACTGACCTGGCTGCTGAAGCCCATCACCACGCGGCGCTGCTTGAGGTTGGTCTCCCCGTCCAGGTTGGCGGTCTCCAGGTGGCAGACCCCGTTCTGGTCAGAGGAGTGGAGCAGCAGGATGTCTGCTGGGACAATCTCATTGCACTGCAGCTGCACAAAGTCCCCCACTCTGACGTCTTTCCAGCATTTCTCCACGTAAGCGTGTTCCTCCCTGTGGCATTGAAAGAACAACGTGGGTGATGAGGGGCATCAGGAAGGCAGGACTGCTGGGTTGGGGGGCTTCAAAAACAGAAAATAGGGCATAGGGATACACCATTTTTAAAGAAGCTTTTTTAAAGAACACAGAACAGAAGCTAGAAATTAAGGATTCAGACACTTCCGCAGCACAACTTCATCATTTGTGATATTCAAACTAAAGCTTTACATGGAATAAAACATTTTCAGCAGTTCTCTTTCATTCTAGCACTAGTCCTATAATCTGCACAACAAAATATTGCAGGCAGTTCAGACTAACAGAGGTATTTTTGAGTATCTTACTGAAGAAATTCAGATTATTGTTTTTGACTGTGACTGTTTCCTAGACACTTTCCAACATCAGCATATAGCTCCTGAAAGCAGTAAACTGATACTTCAGCTGCACTTGCTTCAGGTCTTTCCAGTTTGTAACTCTCAAGAGGTAGTTACAAATTTTTAGCTTAGTGCAGAGAAACAACTTCAAAAGGTGGAAGAGCTGACAAATGGTCCCTTAGTATTAAGCAAAAAAAAATACAACCAGAGCCTAAATTTAATGGAAAAGTTAAAGTAAGAAACAAAGAGCTCGTAAATTAACAAAAAATTAAAAAAAAAAAAGAGCTTATGGGGTTCAAAGAAAAGAAATTACTATTTCATCAATGAACTAAGCTCAGCAAATAGCAGACATTTTTTGACATTGCATTTTCAGAAATTAATCCTTCAACTGCTCTTAACCATCTAAGCAGACCAGAAACAACACAATAAGCTTTAAAATTAGTTAATGGGGAAAAAAAGCACTGCAACAATGGCTTGGTTCCTCTAACTCCTTGAGAGAAATTTATTTTTTCAGGATGAATAACTGAATCATCTTATGCCTTGCTCTGTGAGAGGGAAAATGCTCATGATACTTTACCAGACAGACAATTAAAGGCTTTTTGTAATGACTCAGAGTCTCATTTTTGGTTAAGTTTTTAATCATCCTCATCTATTGGATGGAGAATACTATCTTCCATCGAAGTGTCTGTGTCAGAGAAGGGGAGCAGTGATGGGAGAGATAAAGAGTTTTGCTGCAGTTCAAAGCACACATCCAAGCGCTGCCTCCCTGCCAGGCCAGGGGCTGCTCCCTGCTCACCCACTTTGCTGGGCTGGTGCAGAGCCAGCCATGGCACTGCCAGGCAAACCCTCTCACTGGGCTTGCACCCTCAGCCACAAAACAGCAACAAGCAGGCACCTGTGCAGCTCATGCAAGAAGGTAAATTCTGTCCATTTCCCAGTAGTTCTGAATTTTCATTAAAAAATCAGAACCCTCCAGACTGATGATTTGAATCCCTTTACTGCTGCTTTTGAAGCACTTACTGAACAATGAGGTTGTAGCAAAATTTTTTCATCTTACATTGATTTTTCTTTCTTGAATTTTTAATTCTTCTCATTTTGTCTGATTCTGCTTACCTGCATGTCCTTTTTCTTTTGTGCAACAACAGACATAAAAGACCACACAGAAGAACAGAGGTTTTTGTAAGTAAATTGGGCGCTGCTATGCATTTTAAAAAAATCAAATTAAATTTCTATTTGAAAAGTATTTTAGCAAGTGTATGCTGAGTATTTAATCCTCTACAAAGCAGATACTAAGTTAATATAACAAATCAACTATGTAAGCACCAATCCTTTCCATGCCAAACAACTTCTGAATAGGACTTCTTAATTTGTTTGCCTAAAACATGAAAGAAAGAATACAAGATCAGTTTAGAGGAAGCAGATGTCTCGTCTTGCCATCCTAGACATTTGGATGCCATTTATAGTTTGCATATAATGTTTACTGTGGCTTCTCCATGGTAATCCTACCTCTCTGTACGTCAATTCTTGCACAAGTCAGAAGTTTACAGAACATATTTCTGATTTTGTCCACTCATAAAATGCTATAGAAGGGCCTTGTCTAGCTGTCTGTGTTCCACATCAGCTGAAAGAAATCAGATTAGCCCAAATAATCCACACAAATAATGGATTTGTAATTTTTTTTCCAATAGCTTGCTATGAAACCTACATTACATGTAAAGCTTCAGGCTTCTAGCCAGTCACTAATTAGAGAGAAGACAGTGAGTCAGAAAAGCCAAATGACCTCTTTCAGATCAGAGGAAAAGCCTTCCTAGGCACAGGGACTGCAGCTCAGGGGTTGCTGGAATCCCAAACCTGCATTCAGGGGAACTGTCACTCTATCCCAATGAGTATTCAAAGAATTTCCTGCTCCTGAAGAAAACTTCATCTGAACCTGTAAGATTAAAATTTTGATTATATTATAAGATTAATAATTAAAAATACTAAAAATAGTACAAAGCTTTTCTACAACTTTGTTGGGAATTGCCAGTGGATGAAAGGAAGAAAGCACTTCATGATGAAACTGGTGCACCCCACGGCAGCTCTGTCCTAGTTGTCTAACAAGATTTTTCAGATGAAGCAGTTTCCTTTCAGCAATCCCTGTAACTGGGAACACTGCCCATTTCTGTTCACTGATGAAAGTTAACAGCACAAGCTCTGGTTGCTAAATAAACAGAGGAGCTTAATAAAGCCAAGATGGTCTGATGAGAAACACACAAAAAGGGCAAAGGTATTGAACCAATAAAATAAAAACCACCAGATGTGGGGATTTTCCATAGGTGGGATCTGGACCCTTGATTCGTACAGCGTGTGGTGTCAGGGCTGTGGCACACTGAAGACAAGAGGTAAGATGAAAGTTCCTCAGTTCCTGCTCTCTTTTACCAGGCAATTGATCAAAAGCACATTCAAAAAGTGTTCCCTTGCTCATAGATATCATGATGATGCCCATCAGAGGATACTGCCAATGAAAAGAGGCCTTGAACAGTCAAAATGATGTCTGCCAGAACTGTTATTGAACTCATCAAATCTGAACAGAAGGCCTGAACTAAACAGATTTTATGAAGTAATTTCTGGGAAAAAAAAAGGATCATAAAAAATCCTGCTGCAGTTGGAGATTGTGGGGGAACTTGAATAAATTATTGACTTTGTGTCAACAATTTGATTTCTCTTTCTTGGATTCAATAAAGATAAATTTCAGAGAAAAACTGGATCAAAATGCATGGTGAATGGAGGGAAATAAAAGTTATTTTTCTGCTATACAGAAAAGATTAAATAAAAGTAATTTTTCACATGCACTCCACAGTATGTGTGTCTGCTAGATTGTCTTAAAGAAAGATCTTCAGAAATCTTTGTCATATAGAAACATTTTATCAGACAATTAGTCCAGTGAACTTATTCCCTAGAATTACTGCAAGCTCTATATCAAGATCCTTTGCAGTTCAAAATAAAGATATTGTTTGCTCTGCACTATATCCCCCCAAATTTTCACCAGGTCATGGCACATAGAAAAATATATCAGTGTTGTCAATAGAGAAATCTACATATTTATATTTTGTTGTATGTAAATTTGCTAGAATGCTGTATTTGAAAATGGCCTCCTTCAAGCACCACCTATTTTATAAAAAAACAATATCCTGGGATCCTGGGTCTACATGGCAACAGGCTGAATCACACAGCTGCTTACTCTTTACAGTCTATTTTTGCAAATAAAAATCTTGCCCAGTTTTATGCTATCAAAGATTATATAGCTTTTATATGCAAACCCCTCACAAAATATTTTCAAAGATCACTTCATGTCCATGACCTCACCATCAAGAGCTACTGCCACAAAGCAAAAAAACCTGACAGCAAAGGAGCAGATTTAGGACTCAAGGAAGTCACTAGGTCAGACAGGAACTGATTCTGGAAACTGTCCATAGGTCAGAGTACAGCACAATTGGCTGATGATGTTCCTGATCTGCACCCACTGCCTGGGCATGGGAAGGTGCCAGGGTGTGTGTGTGGGTGTGTCACTGCTCCTGCCACCATGCCATGCCATCCCATCCCATCCCATCCCATCCCATCCCATGCCATCCCATGCCATCCCATGCCATCCCATGCCATCCCATCCCATGCCATGCCATCCCATCCCATCCCATCCCATCCCATCCCATCCCATCCCACCCCACCCCATCCCACCCCATCCCAGTTTTTGTTCCAGCACACCAGCCCAGCAGCACCAATGGTTCCATTTATCAGTGCCCAGTCCTGTACCCAGCCCCAGCCTTTCCTCACAGCACCAAACTCTCAGGATTTGAACACTATGTTAAGACAGCAAAATTATATTTTAAAAATAACTGAAATGGAATATTTCTAAAGTCTAATAAAGTACATACACTTGTATCATACTGGCATTCCAAATTCCTCAATGCTAATAACAGATCCTATCTTCCCATATGCTTAAACTGCCTATAGCATCATAAGAAGCAACTTACTGTCTCAATGCTACAAGCCTATGCTCAACTTCCATAAAAAACTGAACCTTATGTAAACTTTAAGTAAGTACCAGATCTTTATAAATGTATTATTTGTTCATATAAATGGTTTTGGATTTTTTTTAACTCATCTTTGAAGAAATAAAATAAAACAGACGTAAACAGCATGTTACCTAGACTTTACCAGGTTAATTTTGTAAATTGTAGATTTTTGTATTTAGGAAAATGTATTTTTTTTTATTGCCTTGAACAAAATACTATTGTTACAATTATTCCTGGCACCAGTTGGAAGGAACAGATAATTTCAAGGTGACTCAGTTGATGTCTCCTAATCATTAGCATTAGTTTCTATGGACTCTAATTAACTGGTAAAGTTTCTGGAAAGCACAGCCTACATCAGCTTTTTGATAGTCATATCTTTATATGACCATGTAGCTCTTGAGGTCACATGGTAGAAACCCTCCACTCTCCAGGTTTAGTGGTATTTTAAAAGTTCAGACAGGTTGAATCTTAATGCCATGAGGCCATGATTTTGCAGGTCTCTGAGCCAAAGCCAGAGATTCTTATTTATTTGGTCTTAATGTTTAGTCATTAGCTCCTGCTGCTAAGCCATTGCACCTTTTCTGTGAAGCAG